TATGAGGTTCACCGGCACAAAAGGCACATTTCTCGTTCCATGGGGACCGTGTGTCACAACTGGATAGGCTGCGCTTCCGCTCTCAAAATCCATGCCATTACCAACTGCATTACCGCTAAGACCAGCTTTTGGTCGGTCTAAATATCCCTATATGACACTGACCGAAATTAGCATATTGAAGCACATTTTTAAGGACACACCTCAAATATTTCCATCCTTCCCACCTCAGCGCAAGCGAGTTGATGTTAGACAGGTACATTTCCAACCTTGGCACAAGGGTTAGAAAATAGCAGAGCGCCAGCTTTTACAAGTCGAAATTGCCAACAAGCGTGTTTGACACTAGCAGCACTTGAACGAACGCCAGCCGAAAACAATACCCCTAGTAGTCTACCATACGAATATGTTAGCGTCTATGTTAGCAGTATACATCCATATGATTAGGCCCCATTGGGATTGCATATTAGAAACAACAATACTGAAAGAAAGATGACATCAGAAAGATAGAACCATAGAGATACAATATAATACTATTTATTTCTATGGATCGAACATCCAATCTGAGTGCGCTCTCCCATGCCATCTGAGTGTCCTATCTGCTGGGCTGTCTGAGACTGAGACGTAAAGTGCAGTAGAAGCAGTTATCGGGGCTGATGGATGACGAGGCTGATGAGGTGAACACAGGTTCCTAACACGGACAGACAGACAGGAAATGAGATGTGCCAACGACAGCTGTTTCTCCGACCCTAACACCTCAATCAGAAACAGCAGTCTTCATATTTGAGCAGACCTCCTGAACCGAAGGCCACATTACCAGGCTGTCAGTTAGACCAGGCAGAGACAGAGCAACCATGATGAATAGGATGATCTTAGCCTGTCCTCCCGTGCTCAAAGGCTAATTCTGGATTAATAGACACTGATTTAATGGCATTATTAATCATGCTAACTGTGACACTGTCTAATGCTGACGGGGAAAAGGTGGAGAATATGCCCCACAATATTGTAGGCAGAGTTGTTAATCTGTACTATTAGGGAGTGAACCAAGCAGTGTAGAATATTGAGAACTGCTACTGAATCAACAAAGAGTGGATCAACTTCAGTAGTTATCACTTCTATTGAATTGGAGTAACAGCTGACAGAGGAATGTGATATCTCATCAACCATCATGAACTCTGACAGTCTGTCCCTCTCAGCATTCTGAGCATGCCTCTTCTCCTCCCTCCATTTCAGGGAGAGAGAGCTGAAGAGCTGGGGAGCTGGAGAGCACCCTCCACAGCTGGTAGACTCCTACCTCTGCCAGCGTTGGTGCAGCAGCAGCATGGCTCCGTGTTGGCCAGCGCCAGGGAAGAGAGAGGCGTAGCAGAGTAAAGTGGCGGGCGCCAGAAGACTGGCATATGCTGCTCCCCATCAGGCGTGGCAGCAGTGGGCATGGAGCAGAGTGGGCATGAAGCTTGGAATGAGATGCCACAGGTGGCCATCCTGGCTGTTTCTGAAAGAGCCTCATTCATATAGAACACAGGCTGCATGGATGTGCATGCTTTAACATGGAGACTACTGTATTTACACACCATGCTCCTTTCAGTTAATGATAATTTACTGTCAACTATTGGGGCTCAGCAAGTGTTGCTTAAAACTGCTGTAGAAAATCCTGCTAAGAGCAAAATGCTGAGAGAGGTGTATAAATGAATACATTCTAAAAACACCCACAAAAAGTCTCATTGCAAAATCGTAGACTGTCACTAGGGCTGTGGCGGTCACGAAATTCCGTCAGCCGGTGATTGTCAAGCTAATAACTGTCGGTCTTACGGTAATTGACCGTTAATTAACATAAACACGTTTAGCATCTCCTGGCTTCCACACATAGCCTACAAGTCACTGATGCAGACCTTTGGAACATCTACATTAAAAAATAAAAAAAAAATCCATGTAATATAGCCTACACCTTCACAATAATTCATTATTTATTTTTGACATGTCTAAAGAAACATGATATGAAGAAAATGTAGTCTATTTCAGAAGAACAGAATATCATACTCAGAGTTGTCCTTATGTTAGGTCCTGATCTGGCTATGCCATATGGCTGTGGGCTACACTAGTTCATTTAGCAGAAAGGATTTGGTTAGAATTCTGTGGCATTATTTTATATAATTTTATAGTAAGAAGAATACAACTGAACAAAGCTGAATTAAATAGAAAGGATATTTTGCGCAGGCTGTATACACTTCCTCAGTCTCATTCACAATTTGACAAGCACTTGATAATGCCTCGAATTTCCAGGCGGCATCCCCTTTGCGTGGCCGTAATGCACCCTAAAAAAATCCATACCTTTTGCGGCCAGTGGCCGTTGTTCCCTTCTCCCTGAGCACCTCTCACTCACATGGCTCTCCATCACGTGATCGTGTCTTTCTCACAGGCTACAAGTAAAGACAGACAATTCGGAGACGCAACTGCGCATGTCCTTATCCAATTCCGAGTTGCATATTGAAGATATTGGAAGAACTGTCCACATTTACTTTTCGTCAGCCAACAAGATGAGTAGGCCTAACAAACAGCAAAATCACTAGCGTATGTCAATACTATCCCCCATAGTACAGTTGACCTATTCTATTCTGTGCGAGAAATAAATATTCAAATGCTTTTATTATAAAGGTGCATTTTAAATGGTGAAAATTATATTTTCCAAACTTGAAACTCACACGCTGCTTATGTATGCCAGTTAGGCTCTACACCCCTTGTAAAGCTGATTAACGTGTTTAATTTTAAGAAGTTCTTTGGCCACTTTAGTTGTGATAAAAACAGTATCAAAACATATAGGCCTATGGGCTAGGCTACATGAGGTGTGCGACTATGATTAGAAAAAGTCGAAAAAAAAAGGCATTGTTTCTTGCCTTATGCTGGGCATCATTCACAAGTGATAATATATAATTCACAAGTGATAGGCTAATATTGTCATCCATCACACTATTCTTGATTTAATCTTGTCTTTACATATACTAAGTAATATATGTGTAAAATTTGTTTTGATTTAGAATGGACCATTATCATGCAACTGTCTCGAAACAGGGGCAGGGGAAAAAATACATGTCATCTACATTTTACATTTTAGTCATTTATCAGACGCTCTTATCCAGAACGACTTACAGTTAGTGAGTGCATACATTTTTTCATACTGGCCCCCCGTGGGAAATGAACCCACAACCCTGGCGTTGCAAGCGCCATGCTCTACCAACTGAGCTACACAGGGCCTATGCACTTAAATAGTGAATGGAGGACGCTTTTCCCGTGGTTCATTTTCATGCCAGCCAGGTAGGCTATACTCCTGTTGTAAAGATAAGCAATGTGCTTAATATTAGGAAAGTTGAGAGAAAAAATATAGTAGGCCTAGCCTATAGAAAGCAAGTGGGGACAGCAGACTGGGATAGGGAGAGATTGAATATGTCCGTAAACACTCCAGCCAGCTGGTCTGCGCATGCTCGGAGGACGCGACTAGGGATGCCGTCTGGACCGGCAGTCTTGCGATGGTTAACACGCTTAAATATCTTACTCACGTCGGCCACGAAGAACGAGAGCCTACATACTGGCCCCCCGTGGGAATCGAACCCACAACCCTGGCGTTGCAAACGCCATGCTCTACCAACTGAGTTACATCCCTGCCGGCCATTCACTCCCCTACCCTGGACGACGCTGGGCCAATTGTGCACCGCCCCATGGGTCTCCCGGTCACGGCCGGCTACGATTAGAGCCTGGATTTGAACCAGGATCTCTAGTGGCACAGCTAGCACTGCGATGCAGTGCAGAGAGACTGAAAAACAGCTTCTATCTCAAGGCCATCAGACTGTTAAATAGCCATCACTAGCCGGCTTCCACCAGGCTACTCAACCCTGCACCTTAGAGGCTTCTGCCCTACATCCATAGACATGGAATCACTGGCCACTTTAATAATGGAACACTAGTCACTTTAATCATGTTTACATACTGCTTTACTCATCTCATATGTATATACTGTATTATATCTACTGTATTTAGTCAATGACACCACGACATTGCTCGTCCTAATATTTATATATTTCTTTATTCCATTCTTTTAAATTTAGATTTGTGTATTGTTGTGAATTGTTAGATACTACTGCACAAGCATTTAGCTACACCCGTAATAACATCTGCTAAATATGTGTATGTGACCAATACATTTGATATTCAGAAAGAGTCCCAACTGGAAATCTAGGGACAACAAAAAAGCTATTGAGTAATCCGATCCCAATCCGAGGACAGGCCTAGTATAAAATCACTGCTCCACATTTTGTGGAGAATAAGCACACTGTCTTCCCACTAGAGCTATTAAATATTTCATGTTGTTACACAATCATTTCCTTTTTCATGATCGAATTGTGACTGTTATGCAAATGTCACAGGCTGTGATTTGTTGGAGACCTTGAGTCTGTCTGTAACATGAATCAGCGCCGTGACTCATCCTTCCCTATCCAGCAGGCTCCTAGTGTACTGGAGTCTCTGTCTCTGTCTAATGATGTATCCAGGGTGCACTGGGAACTGGGACTGTACCACAACCCATGGACACCACAACCAGTCACGATCAAATCTTATCTCACAACAGTCATTTGTCACAACAGATGACACAACACATAGTAATTCTTCGCTCCAATTGTTTCCACTGAATAAATGCATGAAATCATTTTCTTTGAGATGCATTGTATTGCCATAGTGAATAACATGTTAAAGTGATCCATTTTTTACATTTTACATTTGAGTCATTTAGCAGACGCTCTTATCCAGAGCGACTTACAATTAGTGCATTCATCTTAAGATAGCTGGGTAAGACAACAGCATATCACAGTCGTGGCAAGTACATTTTCACTCAATAAAGTAGTTCTCAGCCAATTCAGGGCTAGCAGGAACATTTTCATTTTTGGGGGGTACAGAGATCCCTTCTCACACTTGAGTCTGAAAATCAGCATTTTGTGTCAGTGCGATATCATAGGCACATTTTATGTATAGGGTGAACTCACGTTATAGAGGATGTCCACCCATCCCTCCATGGTGATGCACTGGAAGACGGTGAGAATAGCAAAGAGGATGTTGTCGAAGTTGGTGATGCCGTAGTTGGGGCCGATCCAGTATTCCTGACACACGGTGCCATTCTCACAGGTCCTCGCTGGAGCCTCCATACCACAGGGGAACTCTGCTGCCTGCTCACCTGAGACACACACACACACACACACACACAGGTACACACACACACACAGGTACACACACAGAGGAATGTACATTACATTACATTTACATTTAAGTCATTTAGCAGACACTCTTATCCAGAGTAGTGAATGCATACATTCCGTCTTGTAGTAGATGTCTTAACAGGGCCATTTCTGATACCATATCCAAGACTATGTGGCCAAACTCCTTTCCCTGAGAGGGGACTTCTTCAATCAAGCAATAAATCAATCAATCAATGAATCAATCCTGTGACCTATTTATGATGGACTTCTTAACCTTAGCGAAAATACAAAATCAAAATCACATGTTTATGCAACTTCTCCAAATGCTGGTTATTAGCTACATGCCTTTTATTGGGTCATGGCTAGAATGTAACGTCCTTTTGCTAAGGGGCAGCAGCACAGCAAGCACGCAAACATAGACAAACATGCACGCATACTGACATGCATACATTTAAAGGAAGTGGTTCATTGAAATACACTAGCGTGATGAGACCTAAAAACGTGTCTTAGCTCCCAGAACTATAGGCTACCTCAGCACATACATCATTTATATCAACTCTATATTTGCAAGTTATTGCAGTTACACAAAACACGGGTGACTAAGATTTCATAGCGATGTACATTGTGCATACCTGTATCAGTCCTGAAGCAGGTCCGGTGGAACTTGCCCATGTAAAAGTCCAGGCCAATGATGGCGAACATGAGGATAGCGAAGAAGAGCAGCATACCGATCTGCAGCAGAGGCACCATCGCTTTCATGATGGACTTCAGAACCACCTGAAGACCTGAGATAGGGCAGGTTTTCACTTTACTCCCTCCCATGTTATAGCATTAACATTGGTCATGGGAGAGACCCCAAATTGCTCTTTACATTTCTTTATTGAACATTTCCTGTTATCAGAATTACATATGATGACATCAACAAAAATGTAATAATGCTTGGATGACAAACTTCAACATAAACATATCCAAACAGAACATTGTTGTTGTTTTTTCCAGTGATTCCAGAGTCATTGTACTTACTAGGGATTCCAGACACCAGTTTCAATGGCCTCAGGACCCGTACTGCCCTCAGAGTTCTCAGGTCAAAGTCTGCTCCCACTGTAGCCAGCATCCTGTTCACAATCAAACAACATGTCACGATCGTCAAACACAGTGGACCAATGCGCAGCGTGATGAGTGAACATACTTTTAATTTGATTCACCACACGAAACAAAACAACAAAACGATACGTGAAGTCCTAGGTAACAGAACCAAACCAGACACGGAACAAGATCCCACCATATCTGGACCAAGCAGCGTGTCCAGGAGCCAACGCCAGAGGTGAATCTAATGGATATCCACCTCGACTGGGTCAAGCAGCGTGTCCAGGAGCCAACGCCAGAGAGGACTCTAATGGATGTCAACCTCGACTGGGTCAAGCCGCGTGAGGAGGAGAGAGGTTGGACTTGGGAGCAGAGGCTGGAGAGTCTGGCGAGAGCCATGGAGGCCATAGCCACGGGGGAGAGACGAACCCAATACATTTTTAGGGGGGGCTCACACCGTGGATGACGGGACTGCTGGAGGCAGATAAGGGGCGAGTTAGTGGACGAGGAGAGAAGGCCACCGGGTTACGGGAGCCATTGGCGAGTAGAGGGAAGGAAAATGTAGAGGCACGGCGAGAGGTACTGAGGTGTGTTGCCAGTCCGGTCCGGCCCGTTCCTGATCCCCGGGTAAGGCCAGTGGTGTGTGTTCCCAGTGCGGTCCGGCCTGTTCCTGTCCCTCGCACCAAGCCTGTGATGCGCGTCGCCAGCCCGGTCCGGCCTGTTCCTGCCTCTCGCACCAAGCCTACGGTGCGCGTCGCCAGCCCGGCCCGGCCTGTTCCTGCTCCCCACACCAAGCCAATGGTGCGCGTCGCCAGCCCGGCCCGGCCTGTTCCTGCTCCCCCGCACCAAGCCAATGGTGCGCGTTGCCAGCCCGGCCCGGCCTGTTCCTGCTCCCCGCACCAAGCCAGGGGTGCGCGTCGTCAGCCTGGTCCGGCCCGTTCCTGCTCCCCGCACCAAGCCTGTGGTGCGCTTCGTCAGCCCGGTTCGGCCCGTCCCTGCTCCCCGCACCAAGCCTGTGGTGCGCGTCGTCAGCCCGGTCCGGCCCGTTCCTGCTCCCCGCACCAAGCCTGTGGTGCGCGTCGTCAGTCCGGCACAGCCCGTGCCTGGGTCACCGGTGCCTCGTCAGGTACCGGTCAGCTGCTCCACATCGGAGCCTAAGCAATCCGCTCCACCGATGTCCAGTCCAGCTCCAGCCAGCGGGGCCAGACCGGACCAGGGGCGCTACGGGGGAATTGTTGGAGGGTGGTGGTCAAGCCCGGAGCCCGGAACCGCCTCCGAGGAGGAATGCCCACCCGGCCCTCCCCTGTTCGGTTTATGTTTGGCGCGGTCGCAGTCCGCGCCTTTGGGGGGGGGTACTGTCACGCCCTGGCTCTGGGACTCTGTTATGTTGAGCCAGGGTGTGTAGTTTCATTGTGTTGGTGTTCTAGGGTCTTTATCTAGCTCATGTGTTTCTGTGTTGGCCGGGGTGGTTCTCAATCAGAGGCAACGAGTGTCAGATGTTGCTTGTTGTCTCTGATTGGGAACCATACTTAGCCAGCCTGTTTTCCACAGTGTTTTATGGGATCTTGTTCCGTGTATGGTTTGTGTCTGTTACCTAGGACTTCACGTATCGTTTTGTTGTTTTGTTTCGTGTGGTGAATCAAATTAAAAGTATGTTCACTCATCACGCTGCGCATTGGTCCACTTCTGTGTTCGACGATCGTGACACAACAACAGACCAGGAGATGAACAATCAGACTGACAATACTACAATCTTACAACCATCCATCATAAACACACAACATATCATTGACATTATGAACGATTGAGGAAATTCAAGAGCTTCAATAGCTAATTCTTTCCCATCTCCAAACATTGCATTCCTGAAAATAATGAGGAATTATTAGTTCCATTATCAAGCATTTCATGTGAGTGTACAATTTCTCCAGCATTCATGAAGGACTTGCATGTGATATAAATCTAAATGTCTCTGAAAATGAGGTCCTATGTATTGTATTACCTAAAACTACAGGGGTTGTCATGCGCTGTGTGTCTGACACTCGTGTGTTAATTGAGTATCGGCAGGGCTGGTTTAGAATATATAACTACAGCATCTTAAGCATCTACTGGGACAGCGAGACAGTGTGGAGAATATTGAATGATTTCACATGGACGATGATATGCAGAGGGGGCACTGACACAGACAGAGAGAGTGAATAGCAGCTCAGTACAACTGACTCATTCAGATTTCAGAAGAACTCTTAATCTGTGTGGTGCTCCTCTCCCTTGTGGCCAGTTTCAGGCTGAGCCGGTGACAAGCAGCAGCATTTCCTCATTCTCCTTGGCGTCTGCATAATCAAGACCTAACCCCCATCGTTAGTGGATCTGACTGCACTTTCACAGTCTCACGGAGGAGAGGAGTAGGAAGAGGGGAGAGAGGAGGAGGGGAGAGAGGAGAGCTGAAAGAGGCTGGAGGAGAGCGAAAGGGTGGAGTGGAGAGAGGTAGGAGGGGAGGGAGGAGGATAAAAGGAGGAGGGGAGAGAGGATGGAGATACGCATTAGCTTCACAGCCTGTCCAATCACCCCAGAGCATCTTCCTCTTGCAGAATGCTATTGTGTAAATGGAACTGGCCGGTGGAGAGCAGCTCCAGCTCCAATAGTCTGTTCCAGGGGGACAGACAGACAGGCCAGATCAGCATCATGTTACTGTGGCTGACGAGTGTTATTGTACACCCACTATCTAACCCACTGGCTGGGCAGAGGCACAGACTGGTGTCCTGGGAGGTGCTGCACTGAAATGAGTGGTATAATCTCTGCACAGAGAGCAGAAGAGAGAGAGAGAGAGAGAGAGAGAGAGAGAGAGAGAGAGAGAGAGAGAGAGAGAGAGAGAGAGAGAGAGAGAGAGGGGAGAGAGAGAGAGAGAGAGAGAGAGAGAGGGAAACAGAAAGCATAAGAGGAGACAGAGTGTTGGTGTAGCTGCTAGTGAATCCAATTTCTAATTGCAAAAGACAGGTTTGAGGATTACCTAAAAGGATTACCTAAATCACACTGTTTCTAGAATAATACAGTCATGTATTCTTCATATGAACCAGAATAATATACATTGCTTTGTGATTACAGTAAAATGTATGCCACTTTAGTAATCTACTGTACACCACAAAGATTTCATATCCCCAGAATATAGGCTAACATAAGGAAAGTAGAAGGAGAGTCTCTGCAGGGTGAGGCAACCTATAATTGTTGTGGTTCATTCCATTAAAACTGATATTCCCTTTCCTTTCTACTGGATCTTAATTAATCACAGCCTACTGATACACTCCCAGCTGGGATTACCTTCATTACCAAGGAAAGAATGAGGAAATGAAGTGAATCAAATTTTCCACACATCAACTAGTGCGTATCTGACTCTAAGTAATATACAGTACAGTGGGAGAGGGCTATCATTTCCTGCTTATGGCCTTTCCCAGTGAGATAACCTCATCTCCCATCATGATCTATGTTTGTTCCAGACTGCAGCTGGCATCCTGAAATATACATAACTTACTGTATCCTCAGTGAAATGAGCACTCTGCTTCTCTCTCTCCCTGCCTGCCTCCCTCCCTGCCTCTCTGCTTGCCTGCCTCCCTGCCTGCCATTGTTTATCCCTACAGAAAAGAGAGAAAGCCTCAGGCCCTCATACATACTCCTGACTGAACCAGTCTCAACGCGCTGCATACAAATACAGATCAGAGGTCCCTGATGGCCTCGTTTTCAGGGCTTATATTTTAGCTTTACAATATATTCCTTTAACATTACCAAAACAGGTTTGAGATACAAAATGATGAAAATTAAAAACCAAATGTAATTCAGTTACACAGAGGAGATATTGGCAACCCAATTATCTGAGTTACGATTAGTTTTTTCAAACTCCTTGAACGAAATGATGGGAAAGCTAACCATGGACTGGACTGGCTGGAGTTCAACACCAACCCAACCAGGACCTGTCTGAATCTGATATCAGGCTCAAGCTGTGTCACTGCTTCAGCCACCAGAAAGGAAAGAGCAGGTGTGCGTGTGTTTCCCATCTCCAAAGTGGCCAGCATTGATCAAATGAGGAGGCCTACATTGGGCTGCTCCCAGGGGGCTTTATTTAGGCTGGTCAGAGACTTTCTCTGCCATCTCTCTATCCCACATAGCCCTGCCAGCAGACAGAGCTGATAGAGGGGTCACGGGAGGGCACTGAACAAACAGGCATATACTGTAGGGCTATACTTAAGGGACTAGGGCCAGGACAACATTAACATGTTACCCCAACATTGTAGAGTAAGGGAGACTATAAAATGCTAGTCGCTTAAGTATACACTGAGTGTACAAAACATTAAGGACACCTGATTTGTCCATGACATAGACTGACCAGGTGAATCCACGTGAATGATATGTTCACTTATTGATGTCACTTGTTAAATCCACTACAATCAGTGTAGATGATGGGTAGGAGACAGGTTAAAGAAGGATTTTTAAGCCTTGAGACAATTGAGACATGGATTGTGTATGTGTGCCATTCAGAGGGTGAATGGGCAAGACAAAATATTGAAGTGCCTTTGAACAGGGTATGGAAGTAGGTGTGTCAAGAACTGCAATGCTGCTGGGGTTTTCACGCTCAACAGTTTACCGTGTGTATCAAGAATGGTCCACCACCAAAAGGACATCCAGCCAACTTGACACAACTGTGGGAAACATTGGATTCAACATGGGCCAGCATCCTTGTACACACAGTGTAGGCCTACACTAAGCTGCTGTAAGAGGTATACTGTGTCAGATGTCTTTCTTCAGTACGAATATAGAGGCTACATTGTTAGTCAACTTACTTTCCATTCAATTAACTCCATTGACAGTAGCTAAGCAGGTTTCTAAATGAATGGTCGTACACCAAAATACAGAAAATATAAATATAAAATGTACATAATAATGTCATGGTTGTTTTCCTCTCAGATGCAATACATAAATGAACATGTGATGTAACTATTTCCAGGTGGCAATGGCATGTATGTGACTAACCATGCCTGTGTCCTGAGATTTCATCTCTACAGCACTGATAATGCATCCATCCAAGTATTATATACTATATATTTGCATCATTGCTGTTCCTATAGTGCCTCTGCTCTTTGAGAGTAAATTAGTTTGTTGTTGTTTTCAAATCACACCTAAGCGTTGTGTGTGTGAAGGGATTGTGGCGCTCTGTGAAACATGCGGCATTAGCTTGTCCATCCTCACCAAACAACATCTGGCCAATGCAGGAAAAAAGCCCCATCTCCATCCCAGCAGAGGCATGCACCAGAAGATTAGTTACTTAATGGACCTTCAGATATTGGAGAAACACCATCCTCTCTGTTTTCAATAGCAGAGCTAGCATCTGTTAGGACTGTTACTATGCATACTGTATGACCATCTACACTAAAGAAACTACCAACACTTTTATCTGTGTTATTATTGTATGGTTGTTTTTGTTCTGTATTCTTTCCAAATAATCATTTGGCAAATTAATGCAAGTAAACAAACAAAGTGTAGAACATAACATCACACAGTGACTGTAGCTGACAAGCCTGAATAATGGAATTAATCATTTTGAAAATTGCTAGATAATTCTTTAGGGGACATGGAAGCACACTGCAATGTAGCAAAGGCATTTATCATATCCTGTGCCTGGGGGAGCTGTATAATGCATTTTGCTCCACGCATACATAAACTCAACTGACATGAAAGAGTCTAAAAGTCAAACACATTAGCTTGATTATCAATTAGTCAACCATGTTTGTTTACAGCACCTCCCAGGAAAATACTGGGAAGAGAATCTAATTCTGCTGCTCCAAGGGCAGGGAAATATAGTAGACAACTAACTCAGTCACAAGCTCCGTCTGGAGTGATACAGCATGCCAAGATCATCATCATCATCATCATCATCATCATCTTCTTCTTCTTCTTCTTCTTCTTCTTCTTCTTCTTCTTCTTCTTCTTCTTCTTCTTCTTCTTCTTCTTCTTCTTCTTCTTCTTCTTCTTCTTCTTCTTCTTCTTCTTCTTCTTCTTCTACTACTACTACTACTACTACTACTACTACTACTACTACTACTAATAATAATAATAATAATAATAATAATAATAATAATAATTTATTACATTTGTAAAGCACTTTTCATTATACAAGAATAATATCAAAGTGCATAAAATGTAATACAAAAATTGTTTTAAAAAACAAAACAAATATATATATAACTAAGTAACACGCTCCACTGTAACACATCCATGTGGAGTATAAGTGATACAGCATGCCAGGGTTGCAGTATAATACATAACAGGGGGGATATTTCTACTCACATATTCTACTAAGTCACAAGCCCAGGTGTAATATAACCATGCATGTTGGGTGTGAGTGATGCAGGATGCCAGGGGTGCAGTATTTTTCAGAACATGGAGAATTCTGAGCCAGGCTTTATTGGTAATACTTCTCTGCTCACATGTTCTCTGGTTCTAACTCACTGACAAGCAAGTAGCAGCCTATGAGACATGCCCTGTCTATCTGTCTGTCTGCCTACCTGCCTGCCTGTCTGTCTGTCTGGCTGACTGTACAGTATGGGATGTGATCTCTTATGAGGCTTGGCAGCATAATGACCTGCCTCCCTCCCCTGTTCTGTAAATGACAGGCGGAACCATGTGAGGGGCCTGAGAGGGACGGGTGAGAGAGAGGGGAAACACAGCAGTCATTGGACTCTGAGGAGAACACATTAATTTCAGCCCTGAGAGGACAATATGCCTTTCAATGTGCCTTTCATGATTAGGATCAAGCAAACAGATCAGAACTAGCTACGTACTTTGTTTTGTATGAGAGCGAATGGAGGGTCGTTCCAACTCAAAATGCACAAGAAACAGGGTTTTTGACACCCACCATCTCAGATTATGCTGAAATTGTTTCTGTAGTTAGAAACATATACGATTAGCATTCTTGAAACATTATTTTGTTGAAATATAATTTGATCTCAGATAAATTAATAAATATAGTACCGAACATCTGATTTGGACCAACATTCTTCCCAACAATGAGTAAGACATGAGGAATCCAATAAAATTATCAAAAGCCACCCACAGACACCCCGCACCAATCCCACCCCAACAACCAATATACAGTATCAGTTCTCTATGTCCGACAAGTAGTATGGAGCTGCGGCATGGAGTATTGTTTCTTCATCCTTTATAATGTATTCCCTGTGAATCTGGTGATGTTTTTTATTATTTACCATAAATTAGTGTAAAGGTACCAGGTTTTGCCCACTAGATGCTGCTGTTCCTGCTACTGCCACCCCTTTTATAAATGTTTCTGGTCTCGTGTTTATTAAATGGATCACAACATTTTCTTTGCAACTTTGGGTAGAAAACCAATAGCTTTTGCTCACGATAAAATTAATTGTGTGGCCAACCTCACAATTGAAGCCAGTTCTCCATGAAAGCAATTTATTTTGCTCTCTCAGAGAGCTTCCAGTTGTTTGACTATTCAAGGAGAGTTGCATTGAAGGATCAGGTTTCTGAGAGAAGGACAAACTGAATTGCTTTCATGGAGGACTGGCTTGACTATTGTAAATAGTGAACATGTAAAATAACTTAACCGCCTCAGTCCATCAAACACTAAAGGAAAGAACCTTCCGTGCAAAAGACACTTCCAGAGTACTCCTTTACAAAAGCCCATCAACTCCCAGTGAAGTGCTTGAGCAGATGTTAATGGCTATGTCCACAGAACAATGCTATGCTTCTCAACTCCATCAGTCCCAAGCATGAACAATCGGTCCATCATCACTGTCATGGCCAGGAAAGGGGAGGATCCAAAGCACTCACCAAAACATCCACTGACAGGTGAATCTGATGGGGGTTTTCATAGCGACGCCAAGCTCTCCAATCATAAACAAATTATGTCAGATGAGGGCGGAAGGTGAAATTGTGCAATGCCAGCAATTAATCTAATGCAGTGGAGTATGAGCACGAGGTTTTAGAGAATTGACACAGTCACTGCTTTGTAATTTATTAACTTTCTCCAGCTGATGAATTATACATTTTTCCAATGACTGCCTGGGTGTGTAGCGGGCTCTTACTGAGCACACTGCCAGGGCAGCAGGTAGCCTAGTGTTGAGCCAATAACCGAAAGGTCGCTGGTTCAAATCCCCGAGCCGACAAGGTGAAAAATATGTTGATGTGCCCTTGAGCAAGGCACTTAACCCTAATTGCTCCTGTAAGTCGCTCTGGATAAGAGCGTCGACTAAAATGTGTAGCAGGCTCTTACTGAACACACTGTGTGTAGTGGGCTCTTCCTGAGTACACTGCCTGCGCGTGTTGCAATGTTCCTTCCCAAAAAATGTGGCACTTAGCAAATTTCAGGTCTGCTGAGTGCAATCTTGAACGTTGTGACAATTCTGTGCAACTTCCAGCGCGCGTTTACTTTGAACACTGAGGCTGTACATGCTCTAAGTTTCAGAAAGTGGTAAAGTAGGCTACTGTGGCTATTTGATCATAATGTAGGCCTACCATTAAAAACAATGGAGAAAATGTGTCCCATAACATTTGAACATGGAAATAGCTGTTGTATCATTCTGCCTACAGTAGCAGCCAATATGTGGTGTTCAATATAGGCCTACCAGTGGAAGCTCGTCAGGGGAGGACCATCCTCCTCAGTGAACATTAAAAAAGTGTCCTTTTTAGATAAAACTATACTAAATATATTAAAATGCCACCATATAATTCATTAAAACACACTGTTTTGCAATGAAGGTCTACAGTAGCCTCAACAGCACGCTGAGTCATGAGTGCAATAGAATCCTACTCCGATGCATTCCACCTACAACAAAATCTCTTGCGTTTTGTTTTGGTATGGTGCATTGAAAGTGGCTAATATTGAGTTGATTCGATCACAATTCCCACAGTAAAGGGAAACGTTGACAGTGTTAACTAAGGGGGAAAACTCTAGAAAGTTGATTGAAGTTCAATCTCGTGCTTCTCTGCGCGGGCAGATATTTCTTCTGCGAGGCAGTCCCGGGGGAGCTGCGCACAGCTTTGAGGGAACATT